AAGAGATGAAATTAATTAATGGAGAACTAGATGTTAATAATTAGAATAGAAAATAGCTGAATTAGAATAATTACTGATTCAATATAAATAATTCGAAATCAAAATGAAAGAATATGAATCAAGAATCAATATGCTTACTTAAGAAATCAAAAGATTGAATGATATTATTGCTAAATTATAAGGAGATATTTAATGTAATAAATAATAATAAAAATTTTATATAAATATGTATATATATATATTTTTATATTTAGAGAAAGATGTTACTATTAATGAATTAAGAACTTAAATTTAATAATGGGAAATGAAATATAGATAATTAGAAGCTTAAAACTAATAATTCTAATAACAAATTTAAGAACTTAATAGAGTTATTGAATAATTAAGAAAACAATTATAAGATGCTATAACATCTTTAGATGATGAAAGAAGAAAGAGAGCTTAATTAGAAAAAATTAATTAAGAATACGAAGCTAAAATCGCTATGTTGACTAGTGAAATCGAAAGATTAAGACAAATGTTGAAGAATAAAGAAGATGAAATTAATTAATGGAGAACCAGATGCTAATAATTAGAATAGAAAATCGCTGAATTAGAATAATTACTGATTCAATATAAATAATTCGAAATAAAAATGAAAGAATATGAATCAAGAATCAATATGCTTACTTAAGAAATCAAAAGATTGAATGATATTATTGCTAAATTATAAGGAGACATATAATGTAATAAATAAATATAATTTTTTTTATATATATTTATAATTTTATATTTAGAGAAAGATGTTACTATTAATGAATTAAGAACTTAAATTTAATAATGGGAAATGAAATATAGATAATTAGAAGCTTAAAACTAATAATTCTAATAACAAATTTAAGAACTTAATAGAGTTATTGAATAATTAAGAAAATAATTATAAGATGCTATAACATCTTTAGATGATGAGAGAAGAAAGAGAGCTTAAGTAGAAAAAATTAATTAAGATTATGAAGCTAAAATTGCTATGTTAACTAGTGAAATCGAAAGATTAAGACAAATGTTGAAGAACAAAGATGATGAAATTAATTAATGGAGAACTAGATGCTAGTAATTAGAATAGAAAATTGCAGAATTAGAATAATTAATTATCTAATATAAATAATTCGAAATCAAAATGAAAGAATATGAATCAAGAATCAATATGCTTACTTAAGAAATTAAAAGATTAACTGATCTTTTGTAAGATGAAAGAGTAAAGAATCAAAAATTAGAATAATAATTATTAGAAGCAAGATAATTAGAAGTTAAATTGAGATAATATGAAGAAAAAATAGTCTTATTAACATCTGAAGTTGATCATCTTAATAAAATTATGGTTGATAAAAATAACGAAATAAATGCATTGAAATAAAAAATTTCATAATTAGAATAAACTATTTATAAATTGTAAACTGTTGAATAAAGATTAGCTGAATATGAACAAAGAATATGTAATTATTTATTTATATATATATATATTAATTTATTAAAAAAATAATATAAAAAATAGAATAATTAATCAAAGAAATCGAAAGATTAAATAAAATTATTTAAGAAAAAGACGTTAATATTAATGAATTAAGAACTTAAATTTAATAATGGGAAATGAAATATAGATAATTAGAAGCCTAAAACTAATAATTCTAATCCCAAATTTAAGAACTTAATAGAGTTATTGAATAATTAAGAAAATAATTATAAGATACTATAACATCTTTAGATGATGAAAGAAGAAAGAGATCCTAAGGAGAAAAAAGTAATTAAGATTATGAAGCTAAAGTTGCTATGTTGACTAGTGAAATTGAAAGATTAAGACAAATGTTGAAGAATAAAGAAGATGAAATTAATTAATGGAGAACCAGATGTTAATAATTAGAATAGAAAATTTCTGAATTAGAATAATCAATTATCTAATATAAATAATTTGAAATTAAAGTTAAAGAATATGAATCTAGAATCAATATGCTTACTTAAGAAATTAAGAGATTAAATGATGTTGCTGCTTAATTATAATAAGAAAATGGATAATGGAAAGAAAAATGCTCTAAATTAGAAATCACTATAATGAACTTGAGATAATTTGAAGATAAATGTAAAGATTATGAGAATTAGATTAGAATGTTTACTTAATAAATATAAGAAGAACGTTCCAGATATTAAAATTTAGATGGATAATTTTAAAAACTCAAAACTTTAGAAATTACTATTAAATAATATGAAGAAAAAATTATTATGTTAAATTAAGAAGTCGAACGTGTAAATAATATTGTTAAAGCAAAAAATAATGATATTGATGGATTAAGATAAAAAATTAGTTAGTAAGATTAATCTTTATATAAATTCACTAATATTGAATAAAGAGTTATTGAATATGAAAACAGATTATGTATAATTCTATATATATATATATATATAAATCAATATTTTATATATTATTTTATTTAGAAAATGCTCAAAAGGAAATTGAAAGATTAACTGGAATTAACATGTAATAAGGTAGAGAATCAGATGAATGGAGAAGTAAATGTGGATAATATGAAATAAGTATTCGTACTTTAGAAGGCTAGATTTAAGGTTTGAACTAATAGTTAATATAATTCAATTAAAAGATAGAAATCTTAATCTAATAATTAAATGAGGAAAAGAGTAGATCTTCAAATACTAGTAAATAAGTAGTTGATTATGAAGCTAGAATCGCTATGTTAACTAGCGAAATCGAAAGATTGAGAATGATGTTAAAAAAAAGAGATGATGAAATTGAATAATGGAAAATTAAAGTAACTTAATATGAATAAAGTATTGGATAATTAAGAGGATTTGAAGGATAATGCAAATAATTCGAATACTAGATTTAATAATTATAGTCAGAAAACGAAAGACTCAATTAAGCCTTGAGAAATTCTATGTAAGAAATAGATAAAATGAGAATTAGAATTTCTGAATTAGAATAAGGAAATTCTTAATTAAGATTACTTGAAGGTAGATTTAAAGAATAGGAAGTTAGAATTTAATAATTAGTTTAAGAAATTTAAAGACTTAATGAAGTTATTAATTTTAAATAATAAGAATTTATGAGTATTTTTTTATTATATATTTATTATATATATATATGTATATTATTTTAGGTTTCTAAGAAAAATATAGATAATTAGAAATTTAGTTTATGAATTCAGATTAAACTATTAAATAATTATAAGGAAAAATCAAATAATAAGATGTTTTAATTAAAGAACTTAATAATACTATTGCTAATTTAAGAGCGTAGTTATAAGAATTATAAGATTAGTTGGAAGATCATAAGGTTAAGAGATCTAAAAATTAAAGAGATATGTAAGATTGGGAATCTAAAGTTGCACTTTTAACCTAAGAAATTGAAAGATTGAGATTTATTTTGTAAAATAAGGATGCTGAAATTGAATAATGGAGAGTTAGATATACCTAATTAGAACAAAGCTTAGCTGAATACAATATGCTTAAAGAAAAGAATAGAGTACTTAATATTGAATTAGATAGATAGACATTGGTTATTAAAGAATTGAAAATTGAAAATGAATAAGTAAAGAGATCTTTGGTTAATCAAAACGATTTGTAGGTTAAGATTTCAGATTTACATATGTTATGTGTGTAACTTTTCGCTGAAATCGAATCTTTAAGATCTAGTGTTAAAGATAAAGAAAAATAAGTAGATGATATTAGAAGATCTTCTTTGGCTGCTTATAGAAATTGAAGTTGATTTTTTTCGTTTTATTTTTATAAAAATAAAAAAATATATATATATTTTTTTTTTTTAAGTTTTTTTTTTTTTTTTAATTTTTTTTTTCTATTTATTTTTATAAAAAATTTTATTATTATATATATATATTTTATTTAACATATTTTATCCCAGTATTTTATATGTTTATTATCTTTTTTTTTATTTTTTTAATAATTTACAAAAAGTTTTTTTATTTTTTTTATTAAAATAAACAAAGAGTTATATTTATTTGTCATATCTTTTTTTTATTATTATTAATAAATAAAAACTCATGAATGATTAATAAACTGAATAAAAAACAATCGAATAAATCTAAAAAGAATAGTAATAAATTTTAAGAAGCAAATAAAGGGATGTTTCGAACATTATAAAAGATAAATATTTTGAGCATTTTAATTTATATTAAGTATATTTATATATAATATAGTAAATTCATATATTAAAATATATACTTTACAACTAAATAGAAAACTATGCTTTAATTAAAAATGAGCTGCTATGAATAAAACGAAAAAGACACAATTAAATATTATACATGTATAGATAAAGTAGATTAGAAAATGTAATAAAATTATTTAGCTTTAAGATAAAAATTTGCTAAAATAGAAGTTTTTTTTTTTTTTTTAAGAAATATTTTGTATATTATATATATATATATATACATAAATATAATATAGGAAAATGAAAAGGATTGCTAAGATTAATGTTAATAATAATATTAATAAATATATAATAAATAACTTCAATGTCTTTTATAATGTACAGAAAAATTTAAAGCGGATTCTATATAAATTTATGAAGATTTTTATAAAGTAACAATAAATTAAAATCCTGAATACAAAAAAATAAGAAAATGAACAATTATATATATAAAAAAACATATTTTAAAAAACAATTATTTAATTTATATATTTTCTTTAAAAAATATTCTGTTTTGTTATCTTATTTTTTTAACAATTTCTTCCATTTTTTTTTAAAAAAAAAAAAATTAATTCCTCTGTTTTATAAGTCTGTCATAGTCATAAGTATAGATTTTAAGCTAAACAAAAAAACTAATATTTATATATATATATATATATATATATATATATATATATATATATATATATAATGTATACTTAAATCTATCGATAAATTAATATCAAGCTGATTATTAAAAAGTAAATTACTGAAAACATAATTAATTTCAGTTTGAATAAAATATTCTTTTTTAAGACTAAAATATCTATGTTTTAATATTCATAGTTCATGTTTGTAAATTTAGTAAAATATATAAATATACTCTATTATTATTTTTTTAATTGAATTTCATAATTTATTTTGTTTTGTAGTCTTAGTTATTGTAGTTCTCAATTTTTTCTTAAATGGAATATTTCAGATAGTTGCTTATATCCAGAAAGAATTAAAATAATCGCTCTCTCTTATTTAGTTAGAACTTTAGGTTGTTAATTTAAAAAATAATACAGGATATAATTAATATCTTTTTAAAATTTCTTAAATAAATAAGGAAATAAGGATTTAATTTAAAAAAAATCTATTTTAAAACAAATAAATTAAAAAATTTATTAAAAACATATCAAAAATAAAATATTAAAAGAATAATAAGAACTAGAAAAATAAGTAAAAAAAAATATTATTACCTTATATAATATTTCAAATTAATTTTTAACTTTTTAATTTGCTATAATGGCGTAAAATGGTCATATATCATAAATGATGATTTATTATTTAATATAATATAATTATATTAAAGAAAAGTAAAAAAAATAGTTAGATAATTCGATTTACCTTATTTAAATGCAGTTATGAAATAAAATTTAATATATTAAAGGATTAAAATAATATAATGAAAAAGATAACAATAAAAATTATTATTTATATAAAAAATATATTTATAAAAGAACTTGAATTAAGATTTTATCTAATGCTATTCATATAAATCATGTATATTATAAAATTCTCATTATTTTATTCATTAAAAATCGATTAATAAATCTATAAATTATCTTAGCTCAGGTTAATAAAATAATATTATATAATATATATGATAGATTAAATATAATATTATAATTAATATTTATTAAAACTTTTTAACTTAATTATTATGATATTAATAAAATTTATTATTTTAAAATTTTCAATAATATTTAATTAATATTTAGAAGTATTAAATAGAAATATTACTTTGCTATTAATTAATTAATTATAAAAATAATATTTTTTATAATATATTAATTTTTCAAATATTTAATCTATTTATATAAATTATTTAATAAAAAAAAAAACATTAATGGATATAAACTAGAAAATTATTTAAATTTAATAAAGTTAATATTTATATATTTTTTTAATTTAAATACTTATAATTTTATTTATTTCTTTATTAAAAAAAACTATAAATGTTTAAAAAAATTATTTTTTATAATTAAGATATTTCTGTTATCATAATTATTGATATTAAAAAAATTATAGTTTTTTTTTTTATAATATTTATATATTATATAAATGTGTATATTTATAAGAATAAATATTAATGATATTAAATTTATATATAAAATAATGATATAAATATAATTTTTTTAAAAAAAAATATTATTTTAATAAATTTATATAAAATTTCTAATAATAATTATACAAAAATATTAAGATTAATATTATTATAATAGGCTTTACCGATAATTCTTATATAATTATTAACAATTATTAAAAATTATATTAACATTAACTAATTTATACATATTATTTATAAATTATATTTTAATTATATAGTGAATTAAATTTAATAATTTATTAGAATAATATACTTTTATAAATATAAAATATATAGAAAAATTTAAAAAAAAATTAATTGAAAATAATTATTGATTTATTATATTATATAAATATATAAAATGAATATTTATATATATATATATATTTATATTATTATATATTAATATATATTTTATTTATTTTATATATAAAGATTTAATATTTTCACCATGTTATTTCAAATATTCTTTTTTTATAAGTTTCTCCTTTATATTCAAAAGGTCCATAAATATAGTTTCTATCTGGAAATTCTTATAATGCGATTTCACAAGCATCTTTTTTTAATTATTTTCTTCATCTTGGTTTTTATCTATTTTATCTCCTTTATTTTCTTCTTCATTTTCTTTATTATTTTCATTTATATTATCATTTTCATTATTGTTTTTATTTTCATCTACATTATCTTCATTATCTTCATTATCTTCATTATTTTCATCTTTCTTTTTTTCATTATTTTCATCTTTATTTTTTTCATCATTTTTTTTATCTTAATTTTCTTCTTAAATTTCATCTTAATCTTCATTTTAAGCATCATCTTCAACTTTCTCTCCTTTATTTATATTTCCATTCAAAACTTTACTGACTGAACTCTTTACACCATTAACTCCTTTACTTAATAAATCTTTAGCTTTTTCCTTTCTTGTTTTTTCAGGAAGGTTTTTTTCTAACCTTTCTAGTTTTTCCTATTCTTTTTTTTAATCTCTTTCTTTTTTTTTTTCTTTCACTTTATCGACTAAAGTTTTACATTTAACCTCCTCTTTAGTAACTATTTTACCTACAAATGCTCCTAATCTAAAATAATAAGGGGTAAACTAACCGTCTAAATATATACCACCTTTAAATTATTCCAAAGGCTTGACAAAAATGCCTAAATTAAGCTAAGTATTTAATAAAATTCCATCACAAACACCCCCAACAGTTCCAATACCGGTATCTGCAGAGATAACACCTGTGACTTTTACTTTAGTATTTACTCCTGTGTTTAAATCCAAGACCGCTTTTTTAAAGCTAACTTAAACATTAATTATTACTTGCCATTCTACTTTTAAGAAAAGATTAAGAATTACACCGACTTTTGTCTTGTAGGAATATTCGTAACTCACTGGGTATATAAAAGCAGGATAAACTAGTTTTTTTTCATAAGATAGTTAGTCTACTAATTAATTAATCATCTATTTATATAAATCATTAGATGAATCATTACCTTCATCAACTACATCTTTTACTACATCTACCTATATTACAGTCTAAGGAACTGTATCTTGTACAAAAGCTTCTGTATTTTCCGATAAGTCATCAAAAGTTTCACCAAATCAATTTCTAAATCTTCTTATAAAATCGATATTTATCATGTAATTTTCTTTTAGTTATATCTCCTATAATAGTTGTTACTTTATTAAATGTAGTTTTAACTTATTCAGCTTTTTTTTTAACGCTATTCCATAATAATTCTCCTTATATTTTAATATTATTAAATGCCAATTTAACTCTATCGAAATATTTAAAGGTGCTTTTGGCAAGGTCTTTTATTTAAGAAATGAAATTATGGAATTTTTATGGTATTTATTTGAATTAGCTTATTAAATCAGTTACTTTTGTAAATTTTAGGTTTACCAAATTTTTCACGTCATGTATAAAATCACCTATTTCACTTACTAAAGGTGTCGAGTAATAGTCAGCATGGTTTTCAGGAAAATCAGGCTTTTTAAAGAAATTCTTTAGGTCTTAATAAATGTCTTTTATTTCATAATATAGATCCTTCGATACTTAAATCATATCGTCTTTCCATGTAATTACACTATCCTTTATATCTAAGCCTAGCTTTTTTAATTATTTCGATGTGTTTATGGCTTAATTCTTTAGGTTTTAAGCCATTTATTGAGGAAAGCCAATTATATTTTTTGTTAAATCGAGGAGGACGTTTCCTAGTTTTTCTTATTGAAGCCTTTTTATAGTTTCTACTATGTTATCAAGGTTCTTCTTGAGTTCAGGGAGGCCTTGGTTGAGGTTTGAGGAGAAAGAAATTACATTGTCAGCTTCCTGGAAAACAACTAGAATACTATTGGGGATTTCTTCGGCGTTATCTATGACCTTTGTGGTATTTAATTCGTTTAGTATTTTATTTTTGAGTTCTTACAAGAATTCCTTGGATTTAGATAATAGTGCTTCACCTGCTTTTCCTAGAGATTTAATTTTTTATGCGGCTTATTTGAGAAGAGTCTCTAATTATCCAACAATAAAATTAGACGAAAACATTTTTTTTAATTTATTTGGAATTTTTGATTTTTTGGTAATTTCTTCTGCTGAAGCTTTTGCATTTTCAGCTTGATCTTTTATGATTTATTCAGCATTTCCAGAAATTTCTTTATCAATTTAAGCCATTTTGCCATAAACTTCGTTTGTTTTTTGCATTAAAAAAGCTTCAATTTAATCTAAAAGTTAAGTTATAGGTTTTTTTATTAATTCAGATAAATAAACCTCGTAAATATCTAATAAAGACTTTATTTTTTATAATATATCTTTAGGAATTCCTTCGTTTCGGTTTTGGCTTATAAAAGCGAGTATTTTGTTAAATTTATCTTCATAGAAATTCTATAGATATGAAATTTGGGTTTCAAAAGAAACTTGTTTCTAGTTTAAAAATTTAAAAACACGTTCTTTTACTTAATTTAAAGGATCATTTACTAAGTCTTTAATGCTATTTAATTACTATTTAAAAATATTTATATATTTATATTTTTATATATATATATAAGTTTTACTTGGTTTACTAAATTCTCAAATGAATCTATAAATTACATAATACCTAATGAATCATTTTTTATAGCATTATTTATATCTTTTGTTAGTGGATTTTTTTCTATATCTAATAATTCTTCAGCTTTATCTAGGATTGCCTATAGCTTATCAACTACTCTATTTACTTAAAATTCGATTGTATTTCCAATTCCACCGAATTTTTTCATTACTGTATATTATATGTATTAGTAATATTTTAATAATTTCGATATATTTAATTTAGCTTTTTTTTTTGTTTTGTTAATAAAATATTATTTTTTGTTTTTTTTTTACTTTCTTTTTCAAAGACTTTTACTGAATTACCATTAAAAACTCCATATAAACCCACTTTACATATATCATCATTTCCTATCCATCCTGACTCTATACATTCAGATTTTATATCCGCTCCAAATTCTATACTGGTAAAAGTTTATCTAAAAATAGGCTTTACGATTACTTCTCCGATTGGTACAGGACTTTTTTTTGCGTTCTTATTTTATAATTCGGCTTCTTATTCTTCTTCTTCATCATATACTAATCCTTTATCAGTTTTTGGTTTATTTTCTTTAACAGTTTTTCCATTTTCATCATTAGAATCTGGATTTTTTTCATCATTATCATCTGGTTTTCCTTTATTATCATCTGGTTTTCCTTTATTATCATCTGGTTTTCCTTTATTATCATCAGGTTTTCCTTTATTAGAATCAGGCTTTTCATTATTAGGATCAGGTTTTGGTCTACTAGCATCAGGTTTTGGTTTACTAACATTAGGTTTTGGTTTACTAGCATCGGGTTTTGGTTTACTAGTATTAGATTTTGGTTTATTAGCACTATTATTAGTATCTGATTTTCCAGTATTTAGCATTCTTTACTCTTATTTGTCTTTATGTTAAGGATTTTTGATTAAATCAGCTTAATGTTTATCAATATTGAGTACAGTCATACGAGAAAAATAAGATTAGACATTATTAAGTAAGGTAGAATCAACTTCATCAACTTGATTTGAAAATTCGATTATTACTTCTGTAAATTATTCGATTTTACTAAACATTTTCGATTGATCTTTCTTTAAAATTAAATTAAAAATAAATACATATATATATTTATATATATAAATGTACTGAATCATCTTTTATTTCGAAATTCGATTTAATAACACTTCTTAAAAGACTTCCATTTTCCATAGTAATACTTTATTTATAATCATTTTGTATTCCATCTCCTTTCTATTATTATTAACTTTAATCTTTTTCAGTTTAAACTAGAGTACTTTAATTTTTATTTTTATTTATTATTATTTCGTTTTATTATGCAGTGTCTTCTCCATTTAAATTACGGAAAAAACGCTCTTTTTAACGTGTTTAGAGGACTCTTTTTCTATTGTTTTTATCATATTTGACTACATCGTAGATTTCTTTTCCTACAAAAGGGGATACTTAGTCAATTATATTCATATATATTAAAGAAAGATCATTTCGAAGATTAATAGGTTGATAATACATGTTAATATCACCATCTTTTGCTACTAAAAACTTAATAATTGGGTATTTACTTCTATTAAATTATTCAACAGTTATTCCTTTTTATTTTAAGAGTTAAATTTCCTCATCAGTCAAAGGAGAATTAGGTGTATTACTATTTTAAGAATTAGAATCAGGTTTAGGATCAGGCTTAGAACCAGCATTATTATTAGGATTAGTTGGTTATTATTATAAATCTCTTAATTTTTTTTATAAATTTATGATTTCAGGAAAGCCGGTCAATTTAGAAATTAAAACATCATTTTCATAAAATTTACTTTCTTAAAAATAAAGATACATTTCAAAATGTTTTTCTGTAACTTAAGAGCATAAAACTGTAAAAGTATGATTTGTAACAGTATTGGTAGTTTTAATCAATCCATCACTTGTAGTAGTTATTTATTTGTTTTTTAGGGAATATGTATAGGTTTTTTAATTTCGAGGTATATATACTAATTAAACTATATTGTTTTCTTATCCTTTCTTTTTTTTTAAAAAAAAATAAATAAATATATATAAATATAAAATTATTTATTTATTTATATATTTTTTTATTTTATTTTTACATTTATTGTTATTTCGTTTTCATAATATTGTTTTGGAAATTTTATTTATGTATCCTATTATACTGTTAATTATTTTTAGGTTTTAAAAACTCCTCCTATTGATAATCCTATTAAAATACAAGAAATTGTTAATACAATTATTACTATTGAAAATTTAAGAATTTTCTTTCTTTAATTTCCTTGTTTTACTTCAATATAGTTATTATCTTTGATTTTTTTAGGAATTTAAATTTAATCATTGTGATTATATTCAGGTTCATTTAATCCTTAAAAAATATAGATATTAAATATAAATATAAAATTTATATATATATATATATATGTATATATATTTATATATAATTACTATCTGTATCTAATTAATTTACTATTTAATCTTCAATTATTTTTTATTTTTTAGAATTAGTTTGAATATCTGTTTTATATTTCTATAAATTTTATTCGTTTTAATTATATATTTATTTATTTTCGTTATTTTCTTCGTTTTCGTTTTGCATTTTTATTTTAATTATTTTTTATTATATTTTTTATATTCCTTTAATTGTTTTTATTTTTTTTTATTTATGGTTAAAATAAAAAACTAGTTTTTATTTTTTTTTATTTGGTTCTAGTTAAAGTCTTATTTTTTCTTTTTTTTTAATTAAAAATAATTAAATATATTTTTGTTATTATTTTAATGTATATTTTATAAAAAGGCTAAATTTCTTTTAATATTTTTTTATTTTAGAAAAATAAACTTAAGAATAATCCTATAATAAAATAGTTTATAAAATATAGTTTATAATTAATTATTTTTTTTTTTTATTTATTTAATAATAAAAGTTATTTTTATTATTAAAATAATTTTTTTTAAATATAAAATGATTTTTTATATATAAAAGAAACAATAAAATTAATATATAAAATTTTAAATAATAAATTATAAAGTAATATAAAAAAAGTAATGTTTTCTAAAAATATATTACTATTATTAGTAATTTTCTAAATAGTCGAAAAAATATAATCCTAAACAATATAAGAAGTGCTTGATAATAAATAATGTGGCTATGATTATTCAGCCCCCTTAACCTAATAACTAATAGAAGCAGCTCTTAGGGTAAACTGTTGTGATATAGCAGAAACAGATGGTATTGTAAAAATAGATTAAAAACTCTAAAAAGGAACTAAAGTAGGTATATCTAAATATTTAGAAATGTCTACACTAATTGAATTAGAAAAGACATTCTAATTATCTGAATAGTAAGTAGTTATTAATTATGGATTAATGGGACTGCCTTAGTATTTTTTATACAATTAATTTATAAATAAGAATTAGTTTTGTGGTAATAATGAAGTGACAAAAATGTTAGGAAATTCTTATGAAACATGTAAATTGTGTTAAGGAAATTACATTAGTCTTACAGATCCATAATAAATATAACTAATAATGAAAAATAAAGAATTTGTATAAGATGTAAATATAATTATTATTTATTTATAAATTAAATATTTATTTTTTTTAAAAAAAGTAATAAACAAAATTATTTACACTAAAATAAAGTAAATCTTTATCAAAATTATTTGTATAAACTTTCCAAAAATTATGGAATTGTAATTATCCAGAATAGAAAATATAAGTTACAGGTATTTTTTTTATAAATAAATATTTATGTATATTAAGAAAACTTTTTTTTTTTTTTAAAAAAAAGGTTATTTTAATCTCTAAACTTAATAAAAATTATTATAAACTAATGTAAATGGCTTTGATTTTATATGTGATAATTGCACTATAAAAGACTGCAATTACTGTACTACAGACTAAAAAAAATGCTTAAAATGTAAATCCGGTTTTACTTTAGAAGAAAACATATGTAAAGGTTGTGATGATGAAAATTGTGAGCTTTGTCCTAAAGGTAAACATACATATAAATATTAATAAATACACATATTCATATAATAAATTTTATACTATATATAGATGATAATGGAGTATAATAATGCCTTACATGTAAAAGTGGGACGATTTTATTCCTTAATAAATGTTAAAAAGATTGTCCTCCTAATTATACAAAAACTGCTAAAACATGTTTATAATGTGGTGAAGGAGAATATGTAGGAGAATCCTCATGCTTATAATGCTCTTAATTCTGTAAAAAATGTACAGGAAATACATTTTATGAATGTAAAAAATGTTTTACAGGCTTTATTATGGTGTAAACTATATATATATAATATACTTGTATATAATATATATATATATAGACCAGAAGAGGGCTGTAAACCTATTCCACCAAATTCACCTTGTGATATAGATAAATGTAAGGATAATGAATTTAAATCTGAAGTATATCCATTTAAATGTACTTAATGCCATGCTACATGTGCTTAATGTGAAGGTCCGGGTCCTTCTTAATGTACTTCATGTAAAAATCCTGATTAATATTAAATAATTGCAGGATATTGTTTAGAAAAATAAGAATAAGCAATCGATTCTATTGATAAAAAGTAATGTCCATTTACATGCAATACATGTGATTAAGATTCGGAAGAATTACTATGTACTAGTTGTAAGGATGGAATAGATTATTATATTTAAGTAAACACTCTTTTAAAATGTGTAGCAGAATGTCCTATAGGGTATATAGAAGATACTACATAAGACAAAACACCAATTTAATGTATCTTAGATATATAATAAAACGATGATCTTTAAGATTTTAAAAAAGAAACGGAAATTCTTGAAAAATGTGAAGATGGAAGCTTTTTAGATGATAGTACTGGCGAATGTAATTAATGCCCAGAAAGGTGTATTTCTTGTAATGCTTTAAATACCTGCGAGTAGTGTAATTTAGGCTTTTTTTGGGATTCTACATTGAAAATATGCTCCTAATGTCACTTTTCCTGTAAAAAATGTACAGGAGAGTCAATTAAAGAATGCGTTTTATGCGAGAGTTAGACCTAGATTTACCCAGATGAAAATGGGCTTTGTTTTTAGGATAAAGCATAGAAAGAATATGATAAATACGATGTTGAATTTACCTATAAGTATTCATAGAAAAACTCTTTGTGGGCTAATTTCTAGATTATTCCTGATATTATGTGCACCAAAGACCTTTTCCCATAGAAATATTAAGCAATGGATTCGTTTAAAGCTTGTAAAGATTCTGATTTTCCCAAAACTACTATTGGATAATCTTTATAAGGAAGTGTATTGACTATTTATGCTACTATTTTTGGCCATTTGGGAGCTATTATTAATTAAAGAGCTGTAAACCCACTTTCTTTGGGAGAATATGTTAAAGGGAATAAGTTAATGAATGTTCTTTATATGTAAAATATATAGGAAGGTTGCAAATAATTCACATGTGAAAGTGTTTTAAATACTCAAATTACTGGTTTGGAAACTGCGGAAAAAAAGAAAATATCTTTGAAAATTGTTAAAATATTGAATTTATTTTAAGACTGTTATGATGATAATAAGGATTTTAAATTAAAAAAAGAGATTTAAGCATAAGCAGAACTTTTGTTGGAAAATTCAAAAAAAAGTTTTTCTAGTTCTTTAAAATAATTTTTACTTTTGGAAGTGTGCGGGAAAAAAAAAGATACAGAAAAATATATAATTTAATATTTTTTAGTCTAAAAATAAATGGAAAATGGTAACGTTTTTAAAGTCTTAAATACACAAAATATGGAAAATTAACAAGATGAGGAAATTTCACTAGAAGGAGGAAAAAATGAACATTGGGAGTTATATAAAATTAAAAAAATAAAAGTCATATAAACTGAAGAGATTTAAGGAGATGTTAATTTAGATGATAGCCTAGCGGAATAATATGAAAATAAAACTAAAGAAAACGATAAAGAAGATGATATTGAAAATATTTAAGATGAAAATGAGGATTAATAGCAGGGTTAAAAAGAGGAGGATTAAAATAATGATTAAAATGAAGATTAAAAGGAGGAATAAAAACAAGATTAAAATATTTGTAAATGTATTTCAGCTAAAGAGTATATTTTATAAAACGAAAATATTACAGAATTAACTAGAATTGTTAAAGAAGATTTAGGGGCTAGCTATTTGTTTACTAAGTCTATAAATTTAAATGATATTACACCTTTTTTTAAAAGAAATAAAATTAATATTAATGACTATAAGAATTCAAAAAAGGCATTGTCTAAAAAATAGGCAAATAATATATTTAATAGTTATCTCTAACAAATTATTAATTAAGTTTAAAAGTATTATGATTTAAAATCTATTAAAATTCCTAATTGTATTTCTAATGTTCTAATTGATATTGCTTTTAGTAATAAAAAAAACTTATTAGATTCTCCTGATAAATAAATTAAAATGTATTTATAATAATATGATTTCTAGAAAATACTAGAAGTCTTATAAGAAAGCTTTTGGTGTGGAATAAATACTGAAAGATGCAGTAAAGCTAAATAGGTTATTAAAGGTTGCATTATTGAATCAATTTGAAAATTTTATTATTATTATTATTTTAGTTCTTTTTTTTATTAGAAAAATTATATATATATAGATTATTTTATTATAATTTTTTATTATTAATTTAAATTAAAATTTATATATTGAAAAATATAAAGTATATATAAATATATATATATATATATATATATATATATATATATTATATCATATGTATATATATTAAATTAAAAATAAATAAAATTAAGTATATTAAAAAATTATTAAAAAATAGTATTATTATTTTTTAAACTTGTAACTAGTAATTTTGTCTATTTAAGATTATTTCTTTGTTTCTCTACTTTATATCTAATATTTTTTTGAGATAGTAATATTTATATATTAATATATTTTATTAAAATGTTATTGATTTCATTAAAATTATCTCTAATATAAATAAATTTTGACAAAATATATATATATATTATAAAAATAATCATTAATTAATTATTTTAAATAACAGTAAAAATAAAAAATATTTAAAAGAAATTTTAATATTATATATTAAATAAAATATACATAAAAATTAAATATATTTTATTTATATATTTATAATAAATATTTTTTTCATTTATATAATTATCTATATATAAAAAAAACATTAAAAAGAAAACTATATTTAATTATAAAAACAAAAATTTATATAAATAACAATATAAAGTTAATATATGTATAAATAAAAAAAAAAAGTGAGAAAGGGGTAGAGGTGAGGTAGGGAAATATCAAAAATAATCATAATTGAATTGAATTAATAATTTAAGTACTACTCTAAGTATGCTTTAAAATATCATTTTATGTGCAAAATTTTTTTTTCATATTTTTTTATTCATCCATAATTTATTTTCTTCTCCTACTATTATTTTATTTATTATTATTTTTTTCTTAATTTTATTTTATATTTTTCTCTTAAAAAATTATATTTTTTCCCTCACTTTCTTCTCTAACTATTTTATTCATTCCGTCTTCGCAATTTGCACAATCATCACATTTACAACTATCAGTACATTTCAATCCAGCATAAAAACACTCACAATATTT